AGTTATTTGAGGAGGTAGGCTCAACCTTTGAAATTCCTTTGTACTCAGAAATGTCTGGTTCTATGAAATATGAGTTTTTATTTTTCTACATCTGGCTCCACACTTTTCCACAGAGAAATGTCCATGGTAGTGTGTCTCAAGCCCAGCTCCTAGTATATGCCAGGCAAGGAAAAGAACATGACATGCACCTCAAAGCACATCCTGAATCCAAACTTCTAAAAAGATATTGAGAGTTCACATGACTGAGCTGAAGAACCAGTATGTAACACATGGCTGATTCTTGTTTTAGGAACCACTCGGGGTAGAATAAACTGAGAGCTGTGCTCCTACAAACTGAATCAAAGGATTAAAAAGGATTAATATGGGGTACTAAGAATAACTTCACAGAATAGCTTTTCTCCATGTTCTGTATCCAGCATTGGCCATATAGACTGGATTTGGAAGTGGGTACTATTAGCAGTTTTTATATGAAGTTTAATAGTCAAACTGCCAGATATTTCTCAAAGAAGTTTTTAATGTTTCCTCCGCCATCTTCTTATTTCTTTTTAATAACATAGGGACAAGGCAGGCTGTGATGCAGTCACAACCACACCTGATTCAATACACACTGGAGTCATCTTCATGTAGATTGTGGGGGAGATTACATTACCAAAGATCTAGGGTACACAGCTAGAAAGATCCTGCCAGTCATCTGACAAGTACACTAAGAAGGACCTCCCCAGATCTACAGTGGCTGCCAAATCTATGAGAACTCAGTGATCCCCAGGGTGCTAGGAGGTATATTGCTTGACAGAGATGAAGACACAATGCTAGTGCTAACCTGACCTGGCCACTTCTTTCTGGGTGAAGCTAAAACAGTATCTCCAGTTCACTCTAGTTGTCTTTTCTTAAAAGGTACCTCTTAAACTGCCCTCTAACCTATAGATTGGCTAACATCTAATCTACAGATGCCTAACTGGAAGTATCCACCAGCAGCTGCCTCATGAGGCTGACTTCTCCAAGCCAGATTCCACCCAGTTGCCCTTCCCAGCTCCCTCCTTGGGCTGTTGCAGCGCTTCTGCTAAGCCCCTGAAGAGGAGCAGGAATGGCCAGTCCTCTAGGAGTGGGTGGGCATGGTCTTGGGTCAGGTGGCTGGCATGAGAGTGAGCAGCGGCCTCTTGCCTCTCTCCCTTCCAAGGATCCTTCCATCTCTACCTTCTGATCTGAACTTAACCCAGGTTTTCATACTTGGGAATCACCAGTGGAAGGCAAGGGGCGGGGCCCAGGCACCTGGAGGTCAGCATACAGTGGCCTGGGTATGTGCAGATATTGAAGGTGTTGGATGCTCATTCTCCTCCCAGTCTTTACAGTTCCTAGGGGGTGTTGGTACAGGCACCTATTGTGATTCATTTGTAAATTATCATGATTTTCTATATTAGAGTTTTTGTAACATAAAATTTTTTTAAAGATGCTCAGAGCAAAAAATCAGTCTCTTAAGGCTATTGCTTTAATATCAGCAAGGGTAGAATGATTTTATTTAGTTATAGATGTGATAAATACAACATCTAGTAAATGTCTAGTTCAAGCAGCTGCCAGGAAATCTGGTGAGCTAATGAACATTTAAGTCTTATTTCCCATCTATTTATTATTTATTATATGTATTGAGTGTTTGCCTATATGTATGTGTGCAGTGTCCATGGAGGCCAGAAGAGGGAGTCAGATCTCCTGGGACTGGATTTGCAGACTGCTGAGAGCTGCCCTGTGTGTGCCGACCTCAAATCCAGATCCTCTGGAAGTGACCGGCTCTCTTAACTGCCTCTCAAGACCCAGCTTTCATCTCCTTGGTGGTGGTACCCTGCCTAGTTTCCTTCCCATCCTGATCAAACTGGATTAACATCTTCTTTGCATTTTAACCGTTGTGGGGTTTTCTATTGCTTCCACATAACATTCTGGGGATGGGTCATCCATCACAGGATCTTACTATGTAGCCCTGGGTGGCCAGTAACCTGCTCTGTAGACCATGCTAGCCTGGAATTTGTGGTTTCCCCCTCCTCACCTCCGCAGTGCTGGATTACAATTGTGCATTGCCCTTTCTGGCTTTTCCACCTGTCCTGAAGATTAAGAATTGCAAGTTGTGCCGGGCGGTGGTGGCTCACGCCTTTAATCACAGCACTTGGGAGGCAGAGGCAGTCGGATCTCTGTGAGTTCGAGGCCGGGCTGGACTGACAGCCTCCAAAACAATACAGAGAAACCCTGTCTCGTAAAACCAAAAAAAAAAAAAAAGAATTGCAAGTTGCATCTCTTCAGAACTCTAGCATCCAGCAACAACTGATCCTAAGAATTTTTGTTTGTTTGTTTTGAGACAGGGTTTCTCTGTGGAGCTGTGGCTGTCCTGGACCAGGCTGGCCTTGAACTCACAGAGATCCACCTGCCTCTGCCTCCCAAGTGCTGGGATTAAAAGCGTGCACCACCACTGCCCCAGCAGGTCCTAAGAAATTTAGTAATAGGTTTTTTTTAAAGATTTATTTATTTGTTATGAATACAACATCCTGCCTCCATGTATGTCTGCACATACCAGAAGAGGGCGCCAGATCTCATTACAGATGGTTGTGAGCCACCATGTGGTTGCTGGGAATTGAACTCAGGACCTCTGGAAGAGCAGTCAGTGCTCTTAACCTCTGAGCCATCTCTCCAGCCCTAGTAATAGGTTTTCAATAAGTGAGCATGGGAGATGATTGCTGAGTAAGTGAGGTAGTTCCATTGGGCTCCACCATTCTATAAATCTGTAAAGTAAGAAGATGCTGTGTAATAACCATAAAAGGAAACTAGTTGGTTTACTTTGGTTCCACTAATGGAACGGTGATGACAGTGGTGCTTTTGATTTATTGAATCTTTACCATATGCCTGACAGTGAGCTAAAGAATTCCTGCACATTTTCTCAATGATACCTACAATGACACTAGGTTCTGACAGACAAGAATAGTGAAACTGAGAGATGAAATAAAAGCCCTCCCAGTGACCAAAGCTATTTGACAACAAAGTCTATACTCACAACCATTTTCCCCACTGTGGTGTTAACTTTGGAACAGGATCTTGCTATAGCCCAACTTGGCTTCAAGCTCAAACTTCCTACCTCTGCCTCTTGAATGCTGAGATTACAGCTATGTGACACCATCCTCAGCTTTTAGAGTTCTTTAAAAAGGAAAAATAGGAGCTGGAGAGATAGCTCAGGGGCCAACAGCACTGATTACTCTCCCAGAGACCTGAGTTCAATTCCCAGCACTCACATGGTGGCTCCCACCATCTAACTCCAGTTCCACAGGATCCAGACACCCTTTTCTAGCCTCTCATGCACATGGTACACAGACACACACACAGACAAAACATCCACACATAAAAATAAATTCTTAAAAAATAAAAGGAAACAATTAAAAACAAGGATGCTGATGATTTAAAGCTCTCTCAACATAGTCTGAGGTTTCACAGAGACCACCTGTTCTTTTAAATAATAGAAAAAAACAGCCCGTGGACATTATGCTGGCTAGTTTTTATGCCAACTTGACAAAAAAAAAGGATGTCTGGGAAGGATTTTTTTGTTTTGTTTTGAGACAGGGTTTCTCTGTGTAGCCCTGGCTGTCCTGGAACCTACTCTGTAGACTAGGTTGACCTTAAATTCAAGAGATCTGCCTGCCTCTGCCTCCCCAGTGCTCATGATGTCCATCAGGAAGAAGGAATTTTAATGGAGAAAATGCCTCATGGGATTGGCCTATAAGTGAGTCTGTGGGACATTTTCTTGATTATTGTAGGAGGGCCCAGCTCACTGTAGGTGGTGCCATCCCTGGGCAAATGGTCCTGGATGGTGTAACAAGCAGGCTAACCAAGCCATGATAAGCAAGCTAGTTAGAAGCACCCCTCCATGGCCTCTACATCAGTACCTACCTCCAGGTTCCTTCCTTGAGTTCCTACCCTGATTTCCCTGGATGATGGACTACAAGCTGTAAGGTAAAATAAATCCTTTCTGCTTCAAGTTTCTTTTTGGTCATGGTGTTTTATTTGTTCGTATTTTTTGAGACAGGGTTTCTCTGGGTAACAGTCCTAGCTGTCCTGGAACTCACTTTATAAACCAGGCTGGCTTCCAACTCACAGAGATCTGCCTGCCTCTGCCTCCCAAGTGCTGGGATTAAAGGCATGTGCCATCACTGCCTGGCAGGATATGGCATTTTATCACAGCAATAAAAACCCTAAAACAGACAACTACTCCATCCCCAAAATTTAGTGGATCTGAGAGCTGTCTGGCTCAAGGCCCAAAGTCAATCAATGCAATAGTTTAGAACCTACCTAGAACCTAGACATGGATATATTTCCACTGTCACTCAAGTGTGCCTTTACTCTCTCAACATTTTGATCATGTCATCTGCACAAAGCTCTTCCTTGAGCATAGATCTGAAATAGCCTCTATCTCTCATCTACTTTTTCAAAACTGATTTTATATTCATATTTATATTTATATGTAGAAGCGTCATGGATACAAGTCATTGTTGCTGTTTCTCTGGAGCCTACAGCAGTGTATGGCATATAAAGTGCTTTAAAAGATAGTTGGGTTGGGCATGGTGGCGCATGCCTTTAATCCCAGCACTCGGGAAGCAGAGGCAGGAGGATCTCTGTGAGTTCGAGGCCAGCCTGGTCTACAGAGTCAGTTTCAGGACAGCCTCCAAAACAATACAGAGAAACCCTGTCTCAAAAAAAAAAAAATGGATAAAGGTTCCAAAGTATCAACTGTGGTGTGAGATCTTTAATGCTCTCAACTTTTTCAACTTCTGTTTTTGTATGAAATTTCTCATACATTGAACCTAACAAACACATACTACACTACTATTCAGTAAATAGTTCTGATCTAAGCAACCTGAAGGGCAGGGATTCTGCATTTGTCTTCTGTCAATCTATCCCAAAAACATAAACCCATGCTCTAAATGCACAGTAGAGGCTAATGTGGAGAATGGTAAGAGAGATAGTCAAGGCACTGTTGCTTAGTGATTTATTCTCCTCTGTGGGCTCCATCAGCAGGTAGAATGGAAGACGCCTCCTACTCTTACTCCTTGGGCAACCAAGGCATTATACTCCTTCACTGCCTGCTCTGTCTGGAGAACCCGCACATTGATGCCTTGTTTCTGGAGGTACTCCACAGTGGATGGAGGCACCTGGAAAGAGGGGAAAGAGATGGGTAAGAAGGGAGAAAGGGGCCCCAGAAACTGCTTTTCCTGCCACAAGGCAAGTGTACAGAATTAGACAGAACACCTGTCACTTCTCAATCACCCAGTGTGTCACCACTCCAAAATTTGGCAGGGAGCCCCAGTGAGTTCCAGAGAGCTCCTGAGAAGCTGGGGTTGTACCGCCGTGGTTCAGAGTGTATGTGCATGCATGAGACCCTGAGTTCATTCCCCAGTAACAGGGTGAGAAAACCAGACCACTGTCAAGTTCCCAAATGTCTCCCAGCCATGCTTTAGCTCTGGTGAAAAGGAAAGGGGCAGGGCAGCATTTCTGACTCGGCCCCAGATTGAAGCTATTCTAGCAGTGTAATTCTGAGTAAGGAATCAATCTCAGCACTTCTTTCTGTGCTTATGGATCAGGGATAGTCACATCACACTCACAAGGTTAGCTGTGAGAACCGAGTTAAGGTTCAGAGCATGTCTAACATGGTGCATATCCTATGCGGTGTAAAATTTTGAAGTTTAGTCAGTGCAACTTAAGTTTAAAGTCGAACTTCCTATTCGCCAAACCAAAAGACATTCCACTAACTTTTAAGCATGAGCCCTCCCATTTCCTCTCCCATAGAGTTTATATGAGGGTGTCACTCTGCAACTCAAATGTCTTCTTGGAGTGCACAGTGGAGGTTGGTATGGAGAATAGACCACTCATAAGCAGCCTCCCCAAGGCACTGTTTGCTTACAGCATTTATTATCTGAAGTTATCTAGTTTGAGGTGTTTTTAACTTTTTTAAAATAATTTTTTAGATTTATTTTAATTTTTTATGTGTATGGTGTTTTGTCATGGACACTAAATGCAACTGGTGCACAGACATACATGTAGGAAAAACAATCTCTGAGTGTGAGACCAGTCTACTATACATAGTGAGTGAGTTCCAGGACAGCCAGGGCTATACAGTAAGACGTTGACTCAAAAAACAGACAAACAAATGGGATACCATCTCTATAACTGCATTTATGAATATTTTGTATTTTTCTACAGGTCAGACACTGTTTCAGGCACTGAGGACACTGGGATAAATAAGGTGAATGAGGTTTTGTTATCACCATCAATTAAAAAGCAGGCTAGAGGGGGCTGGAGAGATGGTTCATCGGTTAAGAGGACTTGCTTTTTGCAGAGGACCCAGGTTTGAGTCCTAACACCCACATGGTATCTCACAAACTGTCAGTAACTCTAGTCCTGGAGATCTGCCCTCCTTTGGCTTCCACAGACACAAGACACATACGTAGTGCAAAGATGTTCATGCAGGTGGAACATAAAAATAAAGAACACATCTTTCTGTCACAAATCATCTAATTTTGTGTGTATGGGTGTTTTGCGGCATGGATGTCTATGCACCACATTCATGCCTAGAGCCTTTGTAGACCAGAAGAGGGTATCAGATCCCTGGAACTGGAGTTATAGTGAGTCACTGTGGGTCCCCTGCAGTGTTTGTTCTAGTTGTAAGCATGTGGGTCCCCTGCACTGTTCTTTTTTTTTTTTTTTTTTTTTTTTTTTTTGGTTTTTCGAGACAGGGTTTCTCTGTATTGTTTTGGAGACTGTCCTGGAACTCGCTTTGTAGACCAGGCTGGCCTCGAACTCACAGAGATCCACCTGCCTCTGCCTCCCGAGTGCTGGGATTAAAGGCATGCGCCACCAATGCCCGGCCCCTGCACTGTTCTTAAGTGCTGCTTAGTTCTCTGCAAGTAAAGTAGCAAGCTGGGCTCAGTGGTTCACACTTCTACTTCCAGCACTTGGACGGTAAATAGGAGAGTCACTGCAAGTTCCAGGCCAGTCAGGGATAGAGGAAGAACCTGTCAAAAACTAAATTAAACTAAAAATGGCACAGAACTGGAGATGGAGCTCAGCTCGTATGGTACTTGCGTAGCATTCATGAAGCCCTGAGTTAATCCCCAGCATGGCATAAACTGTATGATAGTGCATACTTATAATCTTAGCAGTCAGGATGTAGGGGCAAGAGACCCAAAGGATCAAGGACCAAATATGTGCCTCTTAATGGCTTTCTCAGCAAAAAATAGACCCCATATTTAAAAGTTCTATAAGCATACATCATCTACTGACACTGCTGCTGCTCTGTGAACACACAATATGATGTTCACACAGTGATAAAGACAGACACTGCACTACTCAGAATGCATCCCTATTGTTGACCACACGCATGACTAGCTGGATAACTATAGAACATGAGAAATTCTGGAATTGAGGTATTTTGTGAGAAATAGTTGAAACACAATATCAGGGTTGGGCACAAACTTGGAAAGCCCTATTCTGACTAAGTGAAGTAGTGTGCGCAGTCTTACTCACCCTAGGCCACTTCCTGCTCAGCAAAATGAGAGGACATGATATGTAGAGCTGAACTCCAGTGAAGGAGATACCTATGAAAGCTAAGGGCCAAGAACCTACCTTCAAAGCCTCACTCATTCCTCTACCGATCACCAGAGTCTGCACACCCTTCTCAGCGACTTCCTTCACATCTGCAGGTTGCACCCCAGGGGAATGCTGTGTGAAGAAGAGAGCAGGAGGTACCATCTTTCATCACAACACAATTATTTTTATTTTTTTTATTTTGTCAGGCAATAATGGTGCATGCCTTTAATCCCAGCACTTTGGAGGCAGAGGCAGGTGGATCTCTGTGAGTTTAATGCCAGCCTGGTCTATATAGTGAGTTCTAAGACAATCAGAACTGTTACACAGAGAAATCCTGTCTCAAAACAAACAAACAAACAAAGGTTTAGATTTAGGAAACAATTAAGAATCCTGGGGTTTAGCCGGGCAGTGGTGGCGAATGCCTTTAATCCCAGCACTCCGGAGGCAGAGGCAGGCGGATCTCTGTGAGTTTGAGGCCAGCCTGGTCTACAGAGCAAGTTCCAGGACAGGCTCCAAAGCAATACAGAGAAACCCTGTCTCGAGAAGCAAAATAATAATAATATTATTAATTAATTAATTAATTAAAAGAAACGATAAAAGAAAAAGGTAAGCACAAAAGTCTCCATTCTCACATTACAGGTAAGGAAACTGAAGCTCAGAAAAACACACACAATTTGGCTAAGATATACACAGCTGGCAAGTGGTAGAGCTGGGATTTGAACTCAGACACACACTACTTCTGCTTATAATGAATGTTCTTTTTTTTTTTTTGGTTTTTTGAGACAGGGTTTCTCTGTATTGTTTTGGAGGCTGTCCTGGAACTCGCTTTGTAGACCAGGCTGGCCTCGAACTCACAGAGATCTGCCTGCCTCTGCCTCCCGAGTGCTGGGATTAAAGGCGTGTGCCACCAACGCCCGGCTATAATGAATGTTCTTTATTGGGCTCCGATACCAAGGAGCAACCTCTTGAAGCTTGAAAGAATGAAACATAATGAATGACAGTTGGGCTAAGCCCAGCAACTTGTCTATATAAATCCTATTTTTTTCCACAGAAAATCTTCCTTTCTATCTCTCTCCTCTCCCTTCACTGGAGAGCTAAAAGGCTAGAGAGGAGACAGAATAAAATATTTAAAAGTACTTCATTAAAATCGAAAACCCGTGGGCTAGAGAAATGGCTCAGAGGTTAAGAGCACTGACTGCTCTTCCAGAGGTCCCAAGTTCAATTCCCAGAAACCACATGATGGCTCACAACCATCTATAATGGGATCTGGTGCCCTCTTCTCGAATGTAGGCAGGGTTTCACTATATAGCTCTGGCTCTCTTAGAACTCACTATGTAGACCAGGCTGGTCTTGAACTCACAGAGATCCTCCTGCCTCTGACTCCTGAGTTCTGGGATTAAAGGAGTCACTGTACTTGGCATCACACAAAAAATTATGTGAGTGTTCACAGTAAATTTTATTCATGGTAGTCTACAGTTGAAAACAACAATAAATGATCATTAATTAACTGATGAGTAAACTGATTTGTTACAAGTCAGCAGATGGACTATTACTCACCAAGAAAAACAGAACAATTTAATGATACATATGTCAATACTCTCAGACAGTTAAACTTAAATGAGGCCTGTGTATCAGATAATGGTATTTGTTAGTTCCCGATTTTAATCATTGTATTATAGTGGAAGAGAACAGACTACAGAGCTAAGAGTCTCTGAGGAGTATCTCTGCTCCAGTTTCTCTGTTTCCTACAAAGATCAGAAGAAGTTAGAGGATTAGATTGTGTGGGTTTTTTTTTGTTGTTGTTTGTTTGTTTGTTTTTGTTTTGTTTTGAGACAAGGGTTTCTCTGCAGTGCCCTGACTGTCCTGGAACAGAAGAAATTTAGAGGACTAGATTGTTTTCTTAAAAAATACTTAAATTTGTGGGCTGAAGAGATGACCCAGCGGTGAAGAGTATGGGTTATAGTGGGCATGGTGGCACACACCTTTAATCCCAGCACTGGGGAGGCAGAGGCAGTTTGATCTCTGTGAATTTGAGGACAACATGGTCTACAGAGTTCCAGGACAGTCAGAGCTACATAGTGAGGCCCTGTCTCAAAAAAACAAACAAACAAACAAACAAAACCCGAACAACAACAAAGAACACTTGTTTCTTTTCCAGCACCAACATGGTGGCTCACAACTCCAGTCCCAGGGGATCCAATGCCTTCTTCTGATCTTTTTTTTTTTTTTTTTTGGTTTTTCGAGACAGGGTTTCTCTGTATTGTTTTGGAGGCTGTCCTGGAACTCGCTTTGTAGACCAGGCTGGCCTCGAACTCACAGAGATCCTCCTGCCTCTGCCTCCCGAGTGCTGGGATTAAAAACGTGCGCCACCAACGCCCGGCCCTTCTTCTGATCTTTGTGGACACTGCATGCAAGTGTTGCACAGATATAGATGCAGGCAAAACACCTATGCACACAAAATAAAATAAAAATTAAATTAAAAAAGTATTTGTGACTTAAACATGGTTATGGGTTTTATGTGTAAGTGCTTCTCCTTCATGAATATCTATGTACCATGTGCATGTCTACTGTCTGTGGACGTCAGGAAGGAATAGCAGATCCCCTAGAAATGGAGTTACAACAATGAGCCACCACGTAAGTGCTAGGACATAAAACTGGGTCCTCTAATGAGAAACAAGTGCTCCTTGTTAACTCCTGAGACATCTTTTCAGGCCCAGATTGTGATGTTTTACATTTATTTTAAAAAGTTAAAAGGCAAAATTGGAAAAGGGACATACTCACATGATTCAGCTACTTATTAAAGACTATAAAAGGGTTGGATCAGATACTCTTCTTAGTCCCATACTCTGATCTGTCCTAGATCCACCCTGAGCTTAATACACAAAATTTAAAGAATTTACATGTTTTTTTTTTCCTGGAGCTGTGACCACAGTGAACATTTACTAGAATTACAGGTCAGGGTTGGAGAACTTCACCTCCCTTAAATAAAAGCATTTATGCGAATTATCGGGCAGCTACTTCATTTAACAAGAATAGCAACTGTTTTGAATAGAGCCACGACCTCCAAACTCTTAGTAGTAAGTATCATGCAACAAGCCCGCTGACTGCTTGAAATGCAGTGAAAGGTTGTAAGGAGTGCAACTGTAATCCTCTGGAGATTCAGGCTAGAGCTAGCTGAAGCCGATCAGAGTTGCTTGATCAGTGGAACACATGTGACGAATTCAGCTGTGCTGCTGCTACTGCTGCTATCCTGCAGGCTCACAGTGTCTACTGAGCAATAAAAGATAACAGCAGGGCCTGCAGATCCAGGCCCTGGCAGTAATTACGCTCAGCTTCTCCTGGAAACCTGGAATTGGAGCATCACAATGTTATCAAGGCATCTCCAACCTGCCCTCAGCTCCTGTGTGCTTCCAGGTCCTCAAGGCAACCGAGGCTCTCATTGAGAATGGTTCTGCTCTTCATTAAGAGGCTTTTATCGCACAACCGATGGTTGTAAAGCTCAGCTTTTTTCTTGGGAGAAAGCTATTAATTGTACAACAGTGTCTTGACTGCTACCCCTTAGGGCAGCCAGACAAGAAGGTTTCATCCTTTGTGCCTCAGAAATGTTATGATCAAACTGAAAAGGAAACATGCCTAAATTAAACCTGAATCATTCCCTTCTGCCAAAATTACAGGCTTGTGAATGGACAGTCGGAATGTCATTAGCTGGGCTGCACTGAGGTAAAAGTAGACTCTGTGAGGGCAGGTTAAAGAATGCTGGAATGTATCGCCTGTAGATACTGTCAGAGGGCAGGTTAAAGATTGCTGGAATCTATCCCCTGCAGATACGCTCTGAGATGTTCTCATTGTCCCTCACCTGAATGAACAGATCTTGACAGATCTCTTACACGGGCACTGGCTGCTTTTCTGCCTCGGTATGGTGAAACTTCTGACATTTCTCCACAATGATTTTAGCCCCCCTCATTCCAGCCTTGGACCAGAGGAGGCCCGAGTTTCACTTTCAACAACCTTCCCATGGTCTCACTAATATGGGGAGGTTGAAAATGGTCTTCTGTTACATGTGAGCCCATGACCAGTACTCTCAGGAATGAGAGGTCCTGTGGGGTAGTGCATAAGATTCAGAACTAAACCACACCAGGTCTAAATCCTGCGCCTGTGATGCAGGGTTGACGAGGCCCACATACAGCTTTGTTTTGAGGACAAACCACATGTTGGGAAGGATCTGGAACTCCAATGCCCACCCCTCAACTCAAGGTGTGTGTCTAGGTCTCTTTCCTCTCAACCAAGCCAGGAGCTCATGTGGCCAAGAATTCTGCCCTTTAAGGACTGAATTCCCAACAACAACAACAACAAAAATTAGTCATTGCCAGAAGCTGGAGATGTGGGATGGAGAAAGTAGCATTGCTGCTCATGGTTGTGGGGGTTCTTTTAGGGGCTAATAAATAGATCTTGGGATCACTATAATAGCAACTGTACAAGCTTATGAATATGAATGGAATTTTGAGTCCATTATATTACATTGTGTAGTTTATTTTGTGTGTTTAGGTGTTTTGCCTACATACATGTCTGTACACCATGTGATTCCCTGATGCTGGAGGAGGCCAGAAGTCAGTGTTAGACACCCTGAAACTGAACTTACAGATGGTTGTGAGCTGCCATGTGAGTTTTGGGGACAGAATCCAGGTCCTCTGAAAGAGTAGCCAGTTCTCTTTTTGTTGTTGCTGTTTTGGGTTTTGTGTGTGTGTGTGTGTTTTGTTTTTTCCAGACAGGGTTTCTCTGTGACTTTGGAGACTTTCCTGGAACTAGGTCATGTAGACCAGGCTGGTCTTGAACTCACAGAGATCCAGCTGCCTCTGCCTCCCAAGTACTGGGATTAAAGGTGTGTGCCACCAACGCCCAGCCTTGCTGAGCCATTTTTTCAGCCTTACATTATGCACCTAAAAAGGGTAAGTTTAATACTTGGCAGAGAAGAGGGAGAACTTGGTTGTTTAGGAGTTGGAAGTTACTTGGCCAGCCTCCTGTAGTGTCAACTAATCGAATCACTAGAGTCTTACCTCAGTTCCTGTTTCTCTCCAATCCCAAGCCCGACTGCCTCCTGGCCATACTTTGCAATCTTTATAGGTTAAGGTAGAGCCTTGCACTTTCATTTGTCCCCAAGAAAGGGAAGCAATTGTAGGGGAAGCCATGAGTAACTGAGCTGGAATCTGAAGTTAAAAGAAAAAGATACTAAGTCAGTCACTAAGGAAAGTTGAGACCACTTCAAAATTCAGAGACTGATGCCCCAGGTCTCTACATAGGAGGGACCCTTCTTTTTTTTTTTTTTTTAAGATTTATTTATTTATCACATATACAATGTTCTGCCTACATGCCAGAAGAGGGCACCAGATTGAATTGTAGATGGTTGTGAGCCACCATATGGTTGCTGGGAATTGAACTCAGGACCCCTGTAAGAGCAGTCAGTGCTCTTAACCTCTGAGCCATCTCTCCAGCCCGAGGTACCCTTCTTTTAACAAGGTCTGTACCCCACTGTGAATGCAGGCCTCTACTGAGCACTTCTCTAAGACATAGACATTATTCTTGGAATCTGGAATCCTGAAAACACAGAGAGCAGAGACGACAATGATTGCTCAAACTCCAGAGGTAATCCTCAAGACAAAGTCTGAAAGTGGAGATTTACTGGGGCAGTGGTGACGCATGCCTTTAATCCCAGCCCTCAGGAAGCAGAAGCAGGCAGATCTCTGTGATTTCTAGGCCAGTCTGGCCTACAGCCTTGTCTGTGAGTTCCTGGACAGCTGAGTCTACATAGAGAAACCCTGTCTGAAAAAACCAAAAACTAAAACAAAAACAAAACAAGCAAACAAAAAGTTTGATGTGAGGAGGTAGTTTATCTTATCTCAATATAAACAATACAGCCAAAAAAATCCTACAATAATAATTTGGTCAGCAAGATGAATATCTGGCATTAAGCCCAACAACTTCAGTTCAATCCTTGGAGCCCACATGGTAGGAGAAGAAAACTGACTCTCACACAATCACTCACACACACACACACACACACACACACACACAACACCAAGTAAACAAACATAAAAGAAAAACCCAAGCTGGCAAGCTGGAGATACAACTCTGCACTTAGGAACACTTGGTGCTCTTTCATATGACTTAATTTAGTTTTTAGGACCTGTAGGGCCCAGCCATGAAGGCAATACCTGGTTCCAGGAAAGACCACAAACTGAGACACCCAGGCACCACCCAGGAACGGACCATCCAAGGGGAAAATACCTAGCATTCCAACCACTGTAGATAGATAGGATCACCAGATGTCCCTTAGCCCAGCACAGACCCGTCCCCTTTCACCAAGACACCCCTAGACAAATGCCAGCCAATCAGGGGTCCTGAACTTTAGAAATCCCTCACCCCAACCTCTGCTATGATAAAAACTGAACCCCAACTGAGCTAGAGGCTCTCTGATTGTGTCAACTCGTTGGATACCACAAAGGGCCCAAGTTCAAATTTGAATAAAGACTCTTTATTTTTATATATGGGATTCTTTCTCCTTGTGGTTTTGGGGGAACTCTGAGAACTGGGCATAACAGCAACCAAGCTGAACAGTTTATAACTGCTGGTAACTCCAGTTCTGAGGATTCATTCTCATCAGCCTCCAGAAGGACCTCCATACAGGTGGCATACATGTAGGCACACATACGTGTAAATTTAAAAAAATACAATGATGCCAGCCGGGCGTTGGTGGCGCACACCTTTAATCCCAGCACTCGGGAGGCAGAGACAGGCGGATCTTTGTTGAGTTCGAGACCAGCCTGGTCTATAAGAGCTAGTTCCAGGACAGCCTCCAAAGCCACAGAGAAACCCTGTCTCCAAAAACCAAAAAAAAAAAAAAAATGAACTCAGGTGTGGTGGTACATGCCTTTAATCCCAGTACTCAGGAGGGAAAGGTAGGTGGATCTTTGTGAGTTGAAGGCAAGCCTCATCTACAGTGAATTCTGGGACAGCCAACACTGTTACACAGAGAAACCCTATCTCAAAAACCAAACAATGCCAGCCCTTGGGAGGCAGAGGCAGGAGGATCTCTGTGAGTTTAAGTCCAGCCTGGTCTACAGAGCGAGTTCCAGGACAGCCTCCAAAACAATACAGAGAAACCCTGTCTCGAAAAACAAAACAAAACAAAACAAAAAAAGCGAACAAACAAACAAACAAACATGGGGCTGGAGAGATGGCTCATCGGTTAAGAGTACTGGCAGTTCTTCCAGAGGTTCTGAGTTCAATTCCCAGCACCCACATGGTGGCTCACAACCATCTCTAGTGGGATCTGATGTCCTTTTTTGGCACAAAGGCATACATGCAGATAGAATCCTCATACATATAACACCTATAATTCCCATAGTGGGAAGGCAGAGGCGGGAGGATCCCTGGGGTTTGCTGGCTAGCCAATCTAGTTCAGTCTTCAAGCTCTAGATTCAGTGAGAGACCCTTTCTTTTTTTTTTTCTTTTCTACGAGACAGGGTTTCTCTGTTTTGGAGGCTGTCGGTCCAGCCTGGCCTCGAACTCACAGAGATCCGCCTGCCTCTGCCTCCTGAGTGCTGGGATTAAAGGCGTGTGCCACCAATGCCCGGCCAGAGAGACCCTTTCTTAAAAACATAAGGTGGAAAGCAATTGGTGACCTCAATGCTCACATGAATACATGCCCACACACTCCCTGATGTGTACAGTAGCACACACTAATATGTACATAAACACACACAAAAGATGAAATTCTCAAAGATGACACAGTCACAGACTCTCCTCATATCCCAAGTAGAACAGAAGCCACAAGCCTATGTTCCAAGGCCTGGGTAGCTTAATTCATGGGAACTTTACAAGTTGATAATGCCTACACACATGAACAAAGGGAAGCCCAAGGCATAAGATGGTAGGCAGATATAAAAACCAATAAAAACAAGTGGGACTTGTAATTAGTCCTTCAGTGCACACATGGATCCATAAGTAGTGCACAAAACTCTTGCTGGCTCAAGGTGTATGAATATTGAATACATTTGTGGCTGAATACTAAACTACATAGACATAAAGGAAATCCCTAGAAAACCAGCTTTTACAGGCAGATCTCTGAGTTCAAGGCCAGCCTGGTCTGCAGAGTGAGTTCCAGGACAGCCAGGGTTACACAGAAAAACCCTGTCTTGAAAAGTCACACACACAAAAAAAGCGGGGCAGAGGCCGGGCATGGCTTTAATCCCAATGGGAGGCAGAGGCAGAAGCAAGGGCAGGTAGATCTCTGAGTTCAAAGTATGGTCTACAAAGAGAGTCTCAGGAGAGCCAGGGCTATATAGAGAAACCCTGGATTGAAAACAAAACAACAAAAAACAAACAAACAAAAAACAGCCTTTAAAATAAAAACAATATGAATCAAAATAAAGGACTGAACAGGTATTCTAGTGGCCACATACTATCGGGAATCAGAAATAATAGCTTTTAGCCGGGCGTTGGTGGCGCACACCTTTAATCCCAGCACTCACGAGGCAGAGGCAGGCGGATCTTTGTGAGTTCGAGACCAGCCTGGACTACCAAGCGAGTTCCAGGACAGCCTCCAAAGCCACAGAGAACCCTGTCTCGAAAAACCAAAAAAATAAAAAAAATAAAAAATAAATAAATAATAGATTTTAGTATTGTGCTTTGAATGTCTCCCAAATTTGTGTGATTTAATTCTAGATTTTTTTATTTCTTTTTTTTGGGGGGGGCATTTTCAAGACAGGGCTTCTCTGTATTGCTTTGGAGGTTGTCCTGGAACCCGCTCTGTAGACCAGACTGGTCTCGAATTCACAGAGATCCACCTGCCTCTGCCCCCTGAGTGCTGGGATTAAAGGGGCATGCCATCAACACTTGGCTTATTTCTTCATGGTTTTTCTGTGCAGCCTTTGATGTCCTGGAACTTGCTCTGAAGATCAAGCAGACCTGGAACTCACAGAGATCCACCTGCCTCTATCTCCCATTTGCTGGGTTTAAAGATGTGAGTCACCACTGGCCCAGCTAATTGTAGCAGTTTTGAGTTTTTAATTTGTTTTATTTAATTTATCTATTTATTTATTTGTTTATAGGCAGGGTTTCTCTACTGTGTGGCCCTGACTGTACCACTCTTATGTGGACCAGGCTGGCCTGGAACTCATATAGAGGTCCACCTGCCTTTGCCTCCCCAATGGTGGGGTTAAAGGAATTTGCCACCAAACCAGACTTGTTTGTTTTGATACTGGATCCAATGAATCTCAACTGGTCTTAAATGCATTATGTAGCAGAGGATGACCCTCCTTTTCTGATCCTCCTACCTCTACCTTGTAAGTGCTGGTATTAAAGGCTTGCATGGCCGTATCCAGTATATTCAGTGGTGCTGGGGTTCAAGACCAGGGCACTCTGCAAGCTAGGCACTCTCTAACCAGTAATCCTCTTGCTGGGTAAGAAGTGGGGCTTCACAGAATTGGTAAGACTATAGCTATAAGAGCTTTACCCTTATGTGTTGCCATTTGTACTTACTATTAAAATAAACATTATCATAAACATTTGCAAATAAATAAAAACATCACACACCCAAATTCTGGTGTACTATTATTGCAAGGGTAAGTTGTCACTGGAGCAAGTTCCTTACAAGAGGAGAGTTTGACATCTTTTAGCCCCAAACCCCTTTTCTTGCCCTCTCTTTGCTCCTCTACCATGAGGTTTGCCACCATAGGATGCTGCTGCAAGAAAGTTCTTTCTAGAGCTGGTTCTTGATCTTAGATTTTACAGCTCCCAGAACTGTAAGAAATACATCTCTGTTCAGTGTATAGTGCCTAGCCTGAGGTAGTCTGTCATAGCAGCATAAAACAGCTTAAGTCATTTAGAATAAGCAAATGATTGAACATCTAAAAATTTCAAGACTTCATGATCTAAAATGTCCAGTTTCCAACAAAATATTATGACATTTAAAAGAACCCAAAAAGTGTCAACACTCTCAGTCAAGTTAATGTACCTGAGTATTCTCAGATGTGATTCCAAATTTAACAAAAAGTATAATGACAAGATTCAGTTGACATATAATCTCAATAAGGTGATTGAGGGCGTGGAGGGCTTTGAGAAGGATGAATATAGCAGCTCTGATGATTGGGTGAGAAAAGAGCACCAGCAACCCAAGCCTGAAGACCTGAATTTGGTATCTGGAATC